GCGAGAGGGGGAAGGGGAGATGTAGAGAGGTGGAGAGAGAGAGCGATCGGGGTAAAGGCGGAGAGATGAAGCGAGATGGGCAGGGATGTGGGGAGGGCGCGACGAGGGCGCCGTGGGCGCTCGCCCGCGCGCGTGGGAGGTCCCGGGGGCGATCGATCGCGGCGAGCACGCTCTCAGCCGCCGCCCTCCCTCGGCTCCTTCGCCAACGGCCTCTGCCTCTGCCCCGCGCTGCGTACTCCTCTCGGATGGCTCCTACTCAATCACTCTTCAACCTAAGCTACACGGACCTTCCACGCAAAAGCTTTCTCCCATGATTTTTTGAAACAATTTTTAACACTTTTTGCCTATCCATTTCCATCTCTAACTATGTAGCTATCGGTTTCCATCTATGACTATGTAGCTATCTGTTTCCATCTATGACTATGTAGTTATCTGTTTCCATCCATGATTATGTAGTTATGTTTCCATCCATGATTATGTAGTTATGTTTCCATCCATGATTATGTAGCTGTTTCCATCCATGATTATGTAGCTGTTTCCATCCATGATTATGTAGCTGTTTCCATCCATGACTATGTAGCTATCTGTTTCCATCCATGACTATGTAGCTATCTGTTTCCATCTATGACTATGTAGCTATCTGTTTCCATCTATGACTATGTAGCTATCTGTTTCCATCCATGACTATGTAGCTATCTGTTTCCATTTATAACAATGTAGCTATCTGTGTCCATCTGTAACAATGTACCTATCTGTGTCCATCTGTAACTATGTAGTTATTTGTATCCACCTATACGTAGCTGTATGTAGCTATCTTCATCTATGTAGCTATCCAAGGCTTGATTTCTGGCCGAACGCTACGGAATGGCAATCCAGTACCTCTCAAATAATTATTAAAATATATTATAAATATATAAGTATTTCTGTTAAAATAATATTTAATTTGGAGCGCATTCCCCCGACTTAAAATTTTGGAAATCAAGCATTGTAAATTTTTTACGAGAGAAATTGTGGAAATTTTCGACATGACGCCGAGGAGCTTTACTCTTCAGCAGTGTGAGATTTGGAATCACTAAAAGCCCAATCGCTGCATGTTCTTTGCGTTATCCACCCTAAAATAGCAATTATGAATTACTTCGGGGTGGTGCCAGCTATAGAATTTTAAGCGATCATATTTGAATTTCTTACTTAGAAGTTATATCAGATATATTTTATCAGATATGAATGTTTAAGATACTTTCAACTTTAAACAAGCTGCTGAACATTCATTTGGGATCCGAAAATATATTCTTAAAGTGTTTGAAACCTACATAAAGAAATGAAGATCACAAACCTGGAAAAATGGAAGACCATTACTCAATGGTCAAAGAAAAGTGGGTGAGAAACCTAATGAAAGATACGGGTCATTGTTCAATTTGAATAAGGAAATTTGGATGGGTGTTACCGAAAATAACAGTAAAGTTTACACTTTCAATTTCTCTCACTTTATTTTCAATTAACATTTTACAAATGTATCACACATATGAAGAATGCCAGAACATGTTTTATTAGGTTTTTGCAAACCTATAAATTACCATCAAAATCCCCAACATTCTTAAAGAATAACCACTGCTGAAAACCATTGTACGCATATCAATGTACGTAACAAGTTTATTCCGCCCATTCTACCACACATTTAATCTGTATTACGCAAATAAATTCCTAAAACTTCCTTCTTGAATGAACTGATGTAATTGAGGAAAATTCATGAGTCGCCGATATCAAAATAATTGTTAACATATTTTGCATTCTATCGTTTACAATTATGTTTCAGTCTTAAAGAAAAACCACAACAAAACGCATACGATGCTTCATACTTACTATACTAGTATAGTATTTATAATTATTCCCAGATCTAAAGCTATCTAGGAGTATCTCACAAGTATATACTTGTACGTACACAAAAGTTGATTTCAACTATTGCGTGTCTTGTTACTCATTTTTTTTAATCCTTTTTTGCTAATATTTTTCCATTCTCTCACTAGAGATATTTTGTTTCTCTAAAATGCAGAGGTGTAGCTACATTAATCGGGGACCTCGCTGCTAAACATCCAGATGTGACCCCCTTCACTGTCATTGTCATCTTGTCATCCTTACTGGGGGTCGCCGGGGGTCCTCAGTGGAGACTCTTTGACTTAGGGACCCCGGTGCCAGGCACCGGTTGGACTGGCCTAATTACTTCATTGCTAGAAGGTAATTTTTGACAAACGATTCGATTGTTTTCTTCGTAGCCGTTTTTTGCTATTTTGTTGGCGATTTTCTACTTGAAAAATATTCGCCATCTTTCCTTAATATATTTAATTTTACGCGTAATATTACTCGAGATGAAATTATATTTTAAGTGTTTTACGGAGAGGTATTGAACTTAACCTGAGCGCATGGCTCAAAATCACCTTTTCGCCGACGTGTTTTTTTTCGTCTAATTGCCCTAATACTAGTTCTATTATTATTATTGTTGTTATTATTGTCATTATCATCACATGTGATTACTCTATGATTTATCACCTCCAAAATATTCCCATTTAATTACGATGATGTAGATACTAATATAGGTATATTCCATACAATTTAAGTTTATAATAGATAGTTCTTAAATAGCTTTTGCTTAATAAAAATTTGCTAGTTCTTCTATTTAATTATAGATAATTTGTGTTCAAAAGTAGCGTATAGTTTTAATATTTTTTCTCAAATATAGAAAATGAGTCGCTATAATTTTGACCCCAAGGATATTGTCCTTCGTTCAAATGAAAGTTTTCCAATAAGCAGTGTAAAATTGTTACGTACAGTTTACAAAATTGTAGTTTTGAATGAAAGAAAAACGTGTGTAGCTTTTTTTCATTCTTTTCACGTGTTTGAACGAATCAGTCAATAAAATACCAATGTTAAAAATTCACACCAGCATTGGGGGAAATGCAGTGTATCATTAGTTCCAACCGTCTGCCACAGTAGCGCTAATGAGCGTTACTGAATTAATTACTACACTCACACTCAAAACATTAAAGAGATATTACACAAATATTTTAGATTTATGCGATTTAATAAATACATGTATACAGCTCTGAACTACGAACATGTTTTGGAAATATAACAGTATATATTCTCAAAACCTTATTAGATAGTTATTGTCATTTATATTAGGCACAATTTCAAAAAAAACCAACATGTAACAGCTAAATATTGTAGGCGAGACTGGGAGAGTTGCAGATACTGGCAAGTTCTTTTCAGATCATTAAACGAATGCATGATTTTGGTGTCCTACATAAATTCATTTTATAACCAAAATATTTTCGGAAAAAAATTAACTGTTTTAGATTTTCATTATTCGCCTATTATAATATATATTTGTCTTTATAAAGCGAAGAATTGACATTTTTTGAGTTGTCAGTTTCCAAAGTACAATTTTCTAGCTTCCGGAATTTTAATTTTAAACAATGTTTTTGTGATTACAAAGTTTCGAAGTTTTAAATCGCTTACAGAGTATTCCAGCCCACATGCTACAGCTCACCCAGTGTGTTATTTTATTCACATTTAACTAGATTTCCTTAAATTCTCAACCATCTACCACTTACGTTTATAACATTATTGTCAAGTCAGAACACATTGTTATCATTAGAAGTTTGTCTTTCTTTGCTTTAATTCACCAATTTGTAACATACATATTCGTATGTGCAACTTTCTTAAATAAAGGCTAAATTAATGAAAATATGGTTTATACAACTGTTTTATCAAGTAACTTTTCAAGTTTTTAAGAACCAGACAATAGTTTAGTTTTTAAGGATACAAATATGACGAATAGGTCCATGTACGTATGTCACCTAATTTTACAATAAACCTAGTATTTCAGAACAGGAGTGTTTTGCCTATCTTCCATGTAGAGTGCAATGTAAATATCAAACTCAACCTGGAAATGTGAGCCATTTTCGGCATACTTTACCCTTATCTACGTTGTAGAGGTTGATTAAGGATTCTTTCATTGTGTGCTAATGAAAGCGATGGAATACAAAAATACCATTAATACAATTACATTAAAACAATAACATGCAAACATCCAATTCCGCGGAGAGATGACAGCAATTTTCGGCCTACCGTGTCCTTATCTACATTATACAGTTAAGTTTAAAAATACAATTTAAAATACATATATTGTGTTCTAGTGAAAGCGAAGGAATACAAAAATACCAATAACACAATTAACTCTTTCACTCGTAATGTCGTTCTAAGATTACTCGATTCTTTCTCCTCTGATATTCGTAAGTACGCTAATGGAATTTTTCCGATGTGCATATAGACTTCATGGAGTTTTACGCAATGACATGCCGTGGACTCCAGAGGACATAAGAGGGCATTGACTGACTACCTGCTACCGCGGTGAAGCCAAAATTTCTTTCTCTTCACCAGCATTGGATTGGTAGCGCATCAAATATCTACTTCGCGTTAAAGAGTTAATTGAATCATCGCATTTGAACCTAGCCGATGAGAAAGACAAACCCCCATTTACCGGAATCATTCAACATCGGACATTACATTCATCGTAGTTATAATTTTCATCATCGTAGTCATTGAATTTCTTTGTATTTACAATTAGACAACATCATCATTCTGTTTACAAACATTTCTTGAAGGTATGCGCTAAGACCAAGAATACTATAACATATCACAGAAGACGCTACAACATATACATTGGCACAGAATAATCTGATATCTACTTCCACCTAGGGACACGTTTTCAGAATCTGGACCAGTGGTTCTTAACCAATATATTTCGTGAAATTATAGTATCCAATGCAGGTATTTATAAGAAATTAATTCCCTGTAAATAGTTGAGAGAAGTTGGATCAAAGCAGTTGAATAAATTTCAATTTTGTAAAGAAAATAAGCTCGTCTAGCAAGAATACTTATATTGAAATTTTCTTGAAATTTTGGCCAAATCCGAGAATTTTTCTAGTATAATTTTTTAACTATGTGCTGTAATTTAATATTAATGTAACTCAATTTATTTCAATTTTCATTTTACAGAATTTTTAGGAAATGGAAAGTAAAAAGAGCTAGGCGTCGTCCAAAAGGTTAAGAATCACTGTGAAGTAAAAAAAACAACATTTATTTAACCTGGCGAATCTTGTTTCTTGAAAGTGGACGGTCTTAAAGCAAAGGCCGTTAGCATACACATTTTGATTCTTGTAATGTAATGTTCAGGACGTTTGAACTTCTCTTGATTTAGTGTACACTCTGGCTTATTTACCAGTGCATTTTTACATATTCAACAGACAAAAAAATAATTGACCCTGCCGCTTGATTCAGGATCTCGGGATTTTTACGTCTGGATACAAACTCGTTTGTAACTACTGATCTTCAATGCTAATTGTTAGACATCAAGTGTGGGGGTATTTGATTCTGTACAGATAAAAACAAAAGAAATGTATGTTTTGAACAAAGATTGTCGAAACTAGAAAAGTATCGCAAGAGAAATATTTTGATTATAATTTATTAATGTAACCTTTCACTAACTTAACAATGTGTTGTATTATTGTGTGTATTTAAATTGTCATGTAACATTTAACAATTTCTATATATCGAAGTTGGTCTGAAAAAATAAATAAACTTAAAAAGTAAAGAATAGTTTTTAATAATAATAATAATAATAATATAATAATAATAATAATAAATAATAATAATAATTGAAAACGGTTTGAGGTTAAAATGTCCAATGGAAAATGTCCACATACCAAATATATCTACACGTAAAGTACCTTAACCACAAAGACATCCATCGTTATATATATCCAGCAAAAAATGGATCCTTTCTTTTGTTTTTGCTAGCGAATAGGCCTGCTTGAACCACACGTGCAAGTACCCTGCATTTACAGGGGCTCAGAAACATTATCTCGGGGGCAAATGCATGTACTTTTTAACAGGAATCATTATTTTAGCTGGATCCGATTTTTATCCCCAAGGGTTGTTAGCTCTTTCTTTACTGTATAAATTAGATTACAAATACATAGACCAACGGTAGAAAAGGCGCATTGCATATTTCATTCATTGTAATGGGTTCTTTCTTTCCGGTTGAAAACCAAGTTTTAAACTATATGATAAACCACACAAATAGCCTTGAATATATTTATCTTTAAGTATACGGCTGTCATTTATTTGTATTCACAACTTTCAATTGGTTCAATATTATTTATTTGCATTAAAGATGTTTTAGTCTGTTTTAGTACTGCTACATTTTGTATTGCTCGTAAAATAATTTGACATCGATGCCAATGACCTTAGTCGTTGAAGCGCCCTTAAACCTTAATAATCATCAATATTATTTATTGCCATTATTATTTCACCATTCACTGTTGATCCAAATTACACTAATTTGGGAAATTGTTAGATATTGTTAATCAATATATCTGTTTATACGTCGTTATTATTATAAATGTTTAAAAGATGAATAAAATAATTAAAACCATTAAGTATTAAAATAATCGACATCCCATTACGTGATTGTCATTTGGTTCAACAGAGCCTAATAGAATGTTAACTCATGACACTAATGCAAACAATTGTGAATAGCTTTTAATTTAAATACTGTTCTGAACTCATTGAACATCCGCACTATTTTCCTATACTTTCTCGTTTGGTAATATATATTTTCGAAGATCTAACGTTTACATAATCTGTTTGCATTTCAATTGCATCATTATCGTATTGTCTAAAACGCTGTAGGTTCTGCAGTACAATACCATTTTATGTTCTGTGTGTAGGCATCATGTAATTTTAATATGCAAAGAAATATTTTTGGTCATTTTCGTTCCTTGGACATTTTTGTTTTTCGCTTCTGAATATTTATTTCTTGGGACATTCGGCAGTGGACATAAATTGACATTTTTGTAGGCGGTTGTTTGTCACTGGACATTTTCAAGAGAAAAATTAACCTGGAAGTGCGATTTGAAAATACCATTTGAAAACTAGGCAACCTGTACATCACGATGTAGCCGGTTCAGTCTGTGTGTGGCTTTTTCTTTCTTGTGACAGTGACGTTCCAGCAAGGCCAATTATTTTTTTAAAGTCTAATAAAATGTGTGGCATAGTATAAAGTAGGAAAGTAACAATTATATTCAACTTTTTGTTTATTTTCATCACAGAATGTCTGAATGATTTGAAAGAATTTAGAAATTTTTTATTCAGAATTACGGGGAGAAAATTAT